GCCGAACGCCGATCGCCCGAGCCATTCATTCGGTGGACGAGAATTAGGCGCGTGCCAAAGTGCCGGAACGCTTGTCTAGATGCATGCGATTGGTGACGACTGACGACGACGACGAGTGGACTCTTGTGTCTTCTCCTCCCCCGGCCCGGACCCCGGTCGTCCGAGATTGGCCATTCGGCGCAGCTCTGTCGCGCCCCGACGCCGACGGGACGCCAGAAACGGCAAGGGGGTGGGCGCCCCGCGCGCCCGGTTCTGGCATGCGGACAGCGACGCGCGCGACCGTGGTAACGTGCACGTCGAATCGGCGCTGGCCCTCGCGATCACATCAGGGTCAGGTTGGTTCCACGTACTACGGCGGGGCTATGCCATCCACACATCCGCATCCACCTCGCCTACGCCGAACGCGGCCGCGTCTTTCGTGAGAAGGGCAACGGCAAGCAAGGTGGCGACAGGCGAGGCGAGGCCGGCAACGATTCCAGTGACCACCTCGCACCTCGCGCCGCGCGCGATTGTGGTTGTGTGAGGTCCTGGGGGCGGCGTGGTGGCCTTGACGATTGGGGTGCCCCGCTCGCTGCCGCCTAGTCACCGAGCTTTCGAGGGCGGACTTGTCGCGCTGCTCCGTTCTCGGGCGGTTCGGACACGCCGTGCTTTTGACCTGCCACGACATGACGTTTCACGTGGGAATTGAGCTGTTCGATCGGGTGGCTGGCGGTGCGCTACAGCAGTTCAGTCGATCAGAGGCGTGCATGTCAGCATGTGCGTGTAAATCTGCTCGCCACTAGCTTGCTATTGCTAGCTAGAGGGACGTGATCATGTAACTGGCAAGGACCGCAAGGACAGAAGCTAGGTCTGTGCAATCTTGTTTCTGAGCCATTGGGACTTGGTGGCAACTAGAAATGATTGCACGCGCTCGTCTTCCCTCGAGGACTCCGTGTGGCCGTCAGAAACACTGAAACAGCCATGTGCATGCGATGGCAGCCAGCTCTGGGTTTTGGTTAGTTTTCTGAATTTACTGATCTCCAAATTAGCTCAACGTACGTACGCATAGAAGTTGTACGCGGCAACGTCTGCGTCGATCCAAAGCGAGCGTCTTTATGGTTTTTGTGCCCAACTCTACGTACGCACGCGACGTGAACACGAACCAAATCATATATGGTGGCCCCTCAAAAAAAAAAAAATATGGTAGCCATGCATGACGTTGAGACCGTGACGTACATGCTCAAAGGAATGCTGTGCGATGCCATTGGCGTGTCGGGGAGAGTTTCGGGCCTTGTCTGCACGAGCGCATGCAGTTCGACCCGAAGCAGGAGAGCGTTTGAATTTTCTCTTTGGGTCGCCACGCCACAGACCACACGGCATCATCGGTCACCTGTCTGCCGTGTGCACGCACGCTCGCAACGACACAACACGCTATATCGAGGCCGAGAACTGTGATGTTTGGGTTTGGGCCGGGCTCAGTTTTTTTTGGAACCGCGAGCTGGCTCGCTCATTTGAGTTGGCACCAGTTACTGTTGTAGGTCCGTTTATATCCCTGCCAAACTCTTTGCCAATTTTTGTTAAAAAAAAAAACTCTTTGTCAATTTGGTACAAGTAGCTCCTAGGCCTAGTCGCACAGACGTGCGCGTGCCACTTGCTGGAACAAGTTATGTACACTAGTGGCAGTAGTTGGAGAACTATTGGTACCCTGTTTGAAGCTCTTAAGACCTGTGATGTGTTCCAGACTTCCAGGTTCCCGCGGCAGGTAGTGCGAATAGTCATATTTGGTGATTGAAACGTTTCCGAGCATAGCGTGCACTATGATCTATGAAGACGGCCGGAGAGCATAGCGTCCTCGACGCGTAATGACCCGATCGAAATCTCACCGTCGTACTTCTCGTCTCCACTCACTAAATCATGCAGCCGGCGCCCGGCGCTGTGCACGCGGTGATGCACCGGTCCGCACATGCACATGGCGCTGTGCGTCCCGCGCTAGCTCGCGCATGCCACGTTTGCAATTGCGCTCTGCGGAGTAGATGCGACCGCATCGATCGTCGATCGAGCTGGTGCAAGCTACCGGGCCACAAAAGGTGATGGAGAGGCCAAAACGGACCTGCGCAGCTGGTTGCTTGTGTGTTCTTCTCAGTACTCGGGGTCCCCTGCATTCAGACTTCATTTAAACAGCAAAAGCATCAACGACGCTTTTTTTACAACATTATCAACGCGCTTTTTTTTTAAAAAACTTCAGCAAACTTTATTGATTCATCATGGATACATCGTTTACGAGCAATCGTAGGATAGATACAGGGGATCATCTACCCAAATATGAGAGCTTTTCTCTAGTAAAGCTTGCGTAGCTGGCAACTGAATTACAGCTTCGATTACAATGACTAATTGAAATTGCCATGAACTCCTTCTAGTAGATGGCACATTCATCGTAGATTGCCGCTGCAGCCGTAGCCGAGGAATTTCCATCCTGCATTGTAATCAGACTGGAACTCCACTCGAGTACAACCAATTTGTTGCGCCAAGAGTCTATCCCTCGGTGCATATGCTCCTGCCGTGGCCGCGTCTATTGTATGAGGTACATTATCAACGCGCTTAATTGGGTGTACATCGTGACCGCGCTGTCACGGAACGTTCTAGTAGTATTCTACGCCGGCAATACACTACTGGCACACATGCTGATGTTGCTGCTATTTTAGCAACACCTAATCCACGATGTCTATGATGTGCTTCTGCTCATTGCTCTGTCCCTGCTGAATCCAATTAGCGTCCAACTAAATCACCGCTCCTATCCAGTCCAATCCTAATGTTGTCATCCAATCTAACTCCACCTAAATCCAAATCCAAACACATCCAACGCTAGTTTGCACGGGACTACCCCTTTTTTTAAAGAAGAAGAAATCACCGCACCGCGTGCGCCGGCCCACCCATCGGCGGCCCCGGACGGGTCCGTCGCGTCCAGGTCCGGCGCCCTGGGCGGAGGCGCCACGCCCTCCCTGGCGCTGGCGAACTTGGAGATGGGGATGGAGGCCGGAATCCCGCGGGCCTCGGAGGCGGAGGCGCGGCCTCTCTGTTGCGCGGAGAGGAGGAGGGCCCGTCGAAGATGTCCATCCGAGGTCCCCGAGCGCGACACTGACGTCGTCGACATGGCGCAGCTTCCGCTGGGCTTCTTTATAGAGAGTTAAATTTGAAATTTGTATGAACTACAGCTAAGTAGTTGGGGCCGAGGCCCATGGGAGAAGAAATGGACTTCTTTTTTTTTTTTTAAAAAAAGAGATACTACTATGGACCCCGGCCTCTCTGGCCTGAATAGGCTGCGAACCAGTCCAGCTCTCTCCGAACACTGGCTTCCCAAGGCCCATTTCTCTTCAAATTCAACTGGCCGTCGGCCGTCGCCATGGACGCATGGGGGGACCAGCAGGTCCAGTAAGCAAGCGCGCGAACCGGAAGCCCGGCGACGCCGGGAGCGCCCCAGGCGCGGGCGCACTCCTCCTCGGGGGCTCGGGGAGTCGGGGTTCCGCCTCCGCCGCGACGGAGAGGAGTGGGAAGCGGGCTCCTCGGGCTGCGCGTCGCCTTCCCTAGCGCTCCCCCGCCGCGCTCGCGGCCTCTTCCCCGTATCTTCTCGATCTGGTAAGCCCCCGAGTCCCCGATCTCCAATCTATCGTGCATTCGTGCTTCTGACCTTAATTTCGATCCGTGATGAGCGCTAGTGCGAATGTACGAGTCCTTGGTTCACGAGTTCGATTAGATGTGTGTTTTTTGTTTGGTTCTGAATTCTGTGTGGCGAAGTGGGAAAGCGGGAACACGCGCGTAGATAAGGCGCTGACGGCTAGGGTTACAAGAAGGAACTCGAGCAACTCTCGTCGCCGCCGTCGCTGTTCTCGTGTCCCTGTAGGTGCAGCCCCACTCTGCCACCCCCGCGCATCCTCGCTCCTCCTTCACCTCTGGTACGCGCTCATCACCGCTGCCTCCCCGTGAGTTCTCCTTGCTTGATCTGCCTTCCTTATCTAGTTTGGCCATCTGGGAGCAAAATTCAGCCTTGTTGTGTTTCAATTTCTTTTGCATATCTGATTGTGGATGCTAGGCACCTCCTGATTTTGGCCTTCATTTGTGCCTGTGCCTCGCCTAATCGCGTTAATCTACGCTTAGTTACCCTAGTCTCTAGGCGCTGGCTTAGCGCCTGCCTAGTGCCTGGCGCGTTTTGGAATCTTGATCTGCATCTTATACTTGGATTATAAGTGTATAATTTCTTCCTAAAATTTTTGCAACGGAGCCGCTCCCACATCTGGGTCAACTACCCTCGATCCCTCGTTAGGTTACGATTGGGTTTTCTTGGATCTTTAAGTTAGTTTGATCGCTTCTCTAGCCGTTTGTATCTATTAAATTTCTTTTGGGAGGACTGAACAGTTTGATGGTTTTGTAGACCATATATTTGGGTTGTTTGTTTGTTAGGGTTGGATTGTAAGGTCCTCTGCTGCGGCTGCTCCCCTCAATTTCTCTTAACATTGAAACCGATCAGTTAGTTCAGGACTTCTCCACCACTTCGAGATATTTGGCTTTTGTTTGTTTATTTCCATGTCAGTGGGTGTTATGTGTAGGTCTTATTGAATCCATTGTTGTTTGCTTTTGGCTCTGTTAAGTTGTATTTATGTTGCTCGTTTCTTGAGCACTCAACGTATTCCTTATTGGAATAGAAACTAGTTGATTATTAATGATATTATTTGAGAAGTGAAAATAACAACCGGCAAGTTGATGCTTCACTTCGTTTTTAAAAAGTAACGCTTCTTCTTTTTTTTTTCTTTCTTTTTATGAAGTTAGTTTTGAACATTAGATCAATCACCCACGGCAGGCATAAAACTTGAATTGTAACCTTTCATTAGTTCTGCAATGGATTTGCTACATTACTTTACTGGTTAACTTGAATTGTAACAGTTCATTAGATCTGCGATGGATTTGCTACATTACTTTACTGGTTATGACTACATTTCACTTTCTTTAATTCTGCTTCAGTTTGAAAGATGGTAGCAAGTAAGAGAGCTGCTGCTGATCCCACGAGATCCTCAAATGAGAATAAAAGAACTTGCAGTGGGGAAGGAGGGACAACTGAGTCATTGGTTTCAGGTCTGCTTATTCTTCCTACATATACACATGCAGATAGTGCAATTGTTTGGTAGAATAAAATGCTACAGCATATGTCTATAGATTGGTCCAGAAAAGATCTGCAACACTATGAACATCAGCCTCTCCTTAAAACATAGAGATGTTCATGGGTATATTCAAGCCTAGTCACTTCTGATATGAGTGGTTGCACAATATGTCATATATTTCTAATCTTACATACAATACTATTTGCAGAAACTTATGTGATTGCTACATTACTGTATTTAGAATTAGCATGTCTGTTAATCAGCCTTCTTTCTTCAGCATATGAGGATGTTCCCAGCAAGGCACAGTCTGAGAGTGGGTCTAGGGGTTACCCCCCCAGTACATCAAGTGATACGATCAATCGTGAGTCAATGCTTGTACACTTAGTTATCTGGCAATTGAGCCTTTTCACATATCTGCTGTACAACTGACAATTATTATACCGTTGTCTCTTTTACCAGGTGGCATTGCTTTGCTTAATGCTCATCATGGTCCTTTTGGTGATATATATCCTGAAGATGGTGTCTGGGGTGAATTCAATAGAAGTTTTTCTCTTTTCTTATCAAAAAATGTTGTTGCGCTTGCTTCGTTCAATGGTGAGTTTGTAGTAGTGTCCAAACTCGTATTCCTATTTATATTATGACCATCAGTAGCTAATAATCAAAATTACTGTATCCAGGAGGAACAAAGTTTTTTTCATGCACAGGATTTTTCATTGACTTTGATGATGAATGTCAGACTATTCTGACTTCAGCAACCTTGGTTAGGGATCCTGATGGTTCAAATAAGATTGTTGAGGGCCTGAAGGTTGGTGCTTCTAATTACACTGTGATACTTGTTTGTCCAGGATACTGCTTAAGTATCATTGTATCATTTGCAGATTAAGGTGTTGCTTCCAAACAATCAAAGTAAAGAGGGGACATTGAAACATTGTAGTTTACAGTACAACGTTGCTCTAGTCAGTGTCAAGAACTGCCGTTATGTTCGTCATGTGAATCTTGAACAATGTTCAATAAATTATTCTTCCAAGGTAGTAGCTGTGGGCCGTTCTTTTGAATCAGGTGCATTAATGGCTACAAGAGGGGCACGAACCTGCTGGTCAGGCCCTTTTGATTGCGAGCATCTTTCTTACTCTACTTGTAAGATCAGTAAGGTACTATTTGTTGATTTTCTTTCTGCCCACTTACATGTTACATGAATGAGTACCTTAGCCTTATTTGCAAAGCTGATGATCTCCATGTCTTGGTTAGTCTGGGATTGGAGGCCCCCTTGTTGATATCGACGGGAAGTTTCTTGGTATGAACTACTATGACAAGAAAATGGGAACCCCATTCCTCTATTTTGATGATCTCCGTGGAATCCTGCAATATTTCAAGACAAAGCAGTATGTATATTAGATTTCTTTTTTGGTATTTAAATTGCATGTTAGTGTTAGTATTTGGTTTTGTTTTGCGACTGTAATTGTATGAACATTTCGATTATCTGGTTAAAGGAGATTCAGTCACCATAATTCTCTCTATATATCTTAGCTTTTGTTTGATTGACAAAACTGAGTATCGGTCAATGACTGGTATGAAGCGCCACATTCTTGAAGACAACTACTACATACAAAACCGGTATGCTGATACATCTCATTCCATCTTTATAAATTTCTCATCAATTTTCATTGTGGGGAAATTTTGAATGGCAGGTGGATATTGCCTGATCCAAGTAGTATGAATGAACGTGAACGTGAAGAGGAACGCAGAGTCCTAGCCAGCCTCCACCCAACCAGCAGTCGCCGCGTCAAATATGCATACACAGGTGGTGATGTAACCGTGTTGAAGTAGGCAGTTTTTGCTCTACTTGCTGAATTGCTCTGTTTTATTTATGTCTGAAAGATTTCATGTTTGAACCAGTATCCTTGTTATGTAAGTTAGATGACACTTTCTAGTTCGTGGAAAAACATGTCATTAACTGCTGAATTATGTAAGTTTAAATTGAAACTATAGCATTAGTCAGGACCTGAGAGCTAAGTTTAAACTACAACATTGTATTTTTCGCTGTACTATGCATGGTGCTTTTGTTTCTTTGTTACCGTATGCTCCTGATGGGCCTGATGGCAAACGCAAGCTACTGGCAATGAGATGCTTGTTTTGAAGTGTAACTGGCCTGTGATCGATGAGTTGCTCAGAGCCGAAATATCAGCACGCACATGATTTGATATTATCACCGCGTACAAAGTCTCTGTTGATGAGCCTTAACAAACCTCTCTTTAAGCAGAAAAGCTAAACAGTGAGCTCCAATTAATAAAGCTCATACCGAGAGCTCTTTGCGAACCGTCATATCTTAAATAGACATACGATAGTAAGCAAACTGTCAGCGACTGTCGCTCGCCTCTTTCTCTCGTCACCTCACCTGGCGCCGGCAGCCAGTTTCAACTTTCAAGCGTGTCAACTAGCACCAGGGGCCTAGTAGAGTGAGCCTGTACAATGTCGGTATGGTAACCAGTCTCCATCTGCTGGATGCTATTGCATCTTTCACAACTGAAAGAATGGGGCAGAAGTAAACGCATTCGATTTTGCTGAGATCGTGTCAAGATCGATCGAGAGCGAAATCGCCCTTTCCTAGCCCCTCGCTATGGATGATGCTACTGCGCACGGTGATGCACCGGTCCGCACATGCACATGGCTGCGCGTCCGGCACTAGCTCGCGCATGCCACTTTTGGAATTACGCTCTGCGGAGTAGATGCGATCCATCGAGCTGGTGCAAGCTGCCCGGCCACGGGTAAGTTAAATATGCTGCCCTTTGAGGGAAAAAAATTATCGCCCTGTTCGTTTGGTCGTATTTGGCTTATAAGTCATGGCTTATCAGCTAACAAACAATATTTGTCTCTCACATCAAATCAGTCAACAGTACTTTCAGCAATAGCTTATAAGCCGAACGAGCCCAAACCAACATGGGCACAAAAGGTGATGGAGAGGCCAAAACGGACCTGCGCAGCGTTGCTTTGCTTGTGTGTTCTTCCCGGCCGGGGTCCCCTGCATTTTCAGACTTCATTCAAACAACAAAGCATCAACGACGTTTTTTTACAACAGTATCAACGCGCTTAACTAGGTGTACATCGTGTCATCGTGACCGCGCTGTCACGGAACGTTCTAGTAGCATTCTACGCAGGTTATACACTACTGGCACACATGTTGATGTTGCTGCTATTTTAGCAACACCTAATCCACGATGTCTATTATGGGCTTCTTCTACTCATTGCTCTGTCCGACTGTCCCTGCTGAATGCCACACCATCAACATCACTGCGCGTCTGTACCCAGACGTCGTGACCGGGCCGGAAATAATGGAGAGCCAGGGACACGTACGCGAGGCGGGTCCCAAATGCCAACCACTACTTCGGCGTGCCCCTCGCTGGCTGGCCGGCTGGCCCCCACCCCGATCGTCAAGGCGAGGCATTCTCCGCAAACCCCTCCTTACCCCACACAGAAAACCCCTCTGATCCCCGCGCGCACCGCGGCCTCCGCTGCTAGATCCCATTCCCAGATCCCACCGACGCAGCACAGCGATCGGAACGCGACCCGAACCGACGCAATGGCGACGCTCACCGTCCCCTCCTCCGTCCCGGCCGTTGCCGAGGACTGCGAGCAGCTCCACAAGGCCTTCGAAGGTCCCTCCGACCCCCGACCGCATTCCTCACTCGCACCGGCGCGCGCTCTCGCTGCACGCGCCGACGACTGACGCGCTCCGCATTTTCGATCGATGGCAGGTTGGGGCACCAACGAGAAGCTGATCATCTCCATCCTGGCCCACCGCAACGCCGCGCAGCGCCGCGCGATCCGCCGCGCCTACGCCGATGTGTACGGGAAGGAGCTGCTCCGCGCTCTCGGCGACGAGATCCACGGCAAGTTCGAGGTAGGTAGCAGCAGATCGGTGGATCGAAAGCACGCGCGCGATTGATTGGCTCATCGGTTGATTTGATTGGTTTGCCCTTGAATGACCCAGAGGGCGGTGATCCTGTGGACGCTGGACCCCGCGGAGAGGGACGCGGTGCTGGCGAACGAGGAGGCGAAGAAGTGGCACCCCGGCGGCCGCGCTCTGGTGGAGATCGCGTGCGCGCGCCCGCCCGCGCAGCTCTTCGCGGCCAAGCAGGCGTACCACGACCGCTTCAAGCGCTCGCTCGAGGAGGACGTCGCCGCGCACGTCACCGGCGACTTCCGCAAGGTGAGGGCCTCGGATTTTATGACGATCTGACGTTTGCTTGCATATATAGATAGATCGCTCTTGTCGATAGGTGATCTTGATCTGTTTTTTCCGACCTGTAGGCCAATCAATTCGCTGCTTGTGTCTTATCAGTTGTCACCTAACAGATGATCCATGCTCTTGTATCTCGCATTACTGTGCATTTTGATTCTGAAGGGAAAGTCATTTCGCACACTGAGATGTTACGGATCTGATAGTCCTGCTGTTTACCCGTGTGGGCTAGACAGGTTCTGCTGCGTGCGAAATCAGAATCAGATACTGATTTCCTTCATTGTGCGAACTTACTGATACATGATTGCAAATTTAATTAGTTTGAATGGACTAGACAATGATTGGCAACATGTTAATCTTGAAATTAAGTTTGATGTGCTTTTTATCGCATTTGGGTATATCTACTGATGCAGAACATAAATTTTGTAACTGCATCATAACATGCTTGTAGATATTGTACAGTGACACCTTTGTCCAAAACTATTAGACTGATACTCCCTCCGTCCCAAAAAGAATGATGTTCTAGAATTCAAAATTTGTCCCGAAAAGAATGATGTTCTGGGATTCAAACCTCATGCGTGCATAATATGGCGCGTTAATCTCGTACATGCATGATTAAATGGGAATATATTTTCTCTACCTTGTACATGCAACTCAACTAATTAAGGGCACATACGTCTTTTTCATTCACCCTTAATCTGTCTGAAAATTCCTAGAACATTTTTTTTTTGGGACGGAGGGAGTACTATTTTAGCTTTTGTTGAAACTCTTTATGTTTTTTGGTTCCATTAGCTAGCCTAGTGCTTAATGCGCATCATAAAGATAAGATGTCACATATCTGATGGTACTGCTGATACATATAACTACTCTTCTCAACCTTGATACGGCTGATTTGGTTAGCATAACCGCAATAATAGATGATCCATCTGAAAAAATTGTGGTCGCTATCTGTCAAGATAAGATACTGATTTCTTTTATCTTTCTTTCACTAAAATTAGGCCATTTGGTGTCTGTCTGCATGCTACTCTTCATTAAGTTGGATGCTGTTTTTTGTTTTTGAATTGATAGAGGCTGCTGAATAACACCTTTTCTATTAGTAGAGTAGAACTGAAAGATGGTAAAATAATTTCTGAATGATCATTTCTTCGTTTCAGCTGTTAGTGCCTCTTGTAAGTGCTTATCGCTATGATGGCCCAGAGGTGAACACATCTTTGGCCCATTCTGAAGCCAAAATTCTTCATGAGAAGATCGATAAGAAGGCTTACAGTGACGAGGAGATCATCAGGATTCTCACCACACGGAGCAAAGCTCAGCTACTTGCAACATTCAATAGCTACAAGGATCAGTTTGGTCATGCAATCAACAAGGTAAATAGTGATAAGCAAGCTCTTGTTAGTAACCTCTGTGACTCTCATTATCCGTTCCATTATGAACCCACCTCCCTTCAAAAATGTCTGTATATTTTAACTATGCTCCTCTTTTCGTGGTTGATTTCTTTACTACCCTCCTTTGGGCTACCTATATGGCATTAAAATGATCCGTCAACCAGTCAACCAGGTGAAAATGAATTGTCGCTTTAAAGCTCTGGTTCCCTGCATTCGCATGTTTTCTGCAATATTCAAATGCTTGTAGATTGCTAGAAGAGGAATTATTTATAGTTTCTTTTAGGGTCCGTTTGGATGTAGATATTGGAGGGGCTGGAATTGAATTGGGTTCAATACCAAAGCAGCCATTGTATTGAAATGGCCACAATTCGAATATTATTGTTTGGATGACCATTGAATTGGGTTTTGGAATCCTAGCAAGTAGCTCAAATCTGTTTCCTGTTTGGATGCAAAAGCATGGAATTGAAACGCTGGGTAGCTTGATACTGGCCATGGTGGACAGAGGTTGGCAGCGGCTACCACGGCGGGCCATGGCAGGGCGAGCTCGACCATGGCCATGGTGGGCGGATCTCAGGCTCGGCAGCCGCGGCCATGGGGGAGCTCGATCCCAGCCATGGGGGGCGGATCTCGGCGGGCCACGGCAAGGAGAAGAAGAGGCACGCCGGCCATGGAGAAGAAGGGGCACGCCGGCCATGGAGAAGAAGGGCCCAGCCGGCCATGGACTAGAAGAGACAGTGCCAGCCATGGAGAAGAAGGGCTGCGCCGGCGTCGGGGAAGAAGTGGCGCATCGGGGAGCGGCCTGCACATCGGGGTCGCGTGCGTCGGGGTCGCGTGCGTCGGGGCGCCGGGGAAGTAGCGGCGCAGCGGGGGCACCCTCCGCGTCGGGCCCCCATACGTCGGCGGGGCGCCGGGGAAGGAGTCGGGGGCCTCCGTGGTTTGCGCGTCGGGGTTTCCGTGCGTCGGGGTGTTTCTGAATGCCGCACAATATGAAGGCCTCGGGCTCGGTATTGGAGATGATGAGGCTCAGGTATAAGCCAATACCAATTGGTATTCGGTTGGAATTCCAATTCAAAATTCTTAGCCATCCAAACAGTGGAATTGGTAGGTTCACAATACCAATATCAAATCCAGAGGCCCAATATCTACATCCAAACGGGGTGTTAGAGACTTTTCGGTTGCTGATAATGTTTTTTCTGCTCACTTCT